GAGGGAGGGAGGGAGGGAGGGAAAGGAAAGTATTGCCTGAAATAATTGGGTGAAAGTTTGATGCTATCTTCTTCAGGATTATGAGGCCCCTGGTGTAAAGAGATTGCCTGAGAGGAGCCTGGAAGAGTTGCAGTAAAAGCATGGGGAAGTGTGGTAAAAACTGGGTGCAAGGAGAACAAGTAGAAAATAAAGGCAGGTGGGTTGGCTTCTCCCTTCCTCTGCCTGGGAAGCTTTATTGCTGCCTAGAGAAACCTGCTCAGGATGAGGTCACATGTAAAACCAGCCAGCAGTATACACAAGTGATCCTAGTGGGTCTTAGTAACATTATATGTCTGTAACACTGAGTGAAATTATTTTCAAATTTTCTTTCTTTTTCTTTTTTGAGACAGGGTGTCACTCTGTTGCTCAGGTTGGAGTGCGGTGGCATGATCTTGGCCCAATGCAGCTTTGACCTCCTGGGCTCAAGCAACCTCCCCACCCCAGCTTTCTGAGTAGTTGGGGCCACAGGTGCATGCCACCCCACCCAACTAATTTTTGTATTTTTTGTAGAGGTGGGGTTTTGCCATGTTGCCAGACTGGCCTCGAACTCCTGGGCTCAAGCAATCCTCCTGCCTCGGCCTCTCAAACTGCTGAGATTATAGGGGTGAGCCACTGTGACCAGACCTAAGGGAAATTCTTAAAAAGCAAAATTCACAAACTTTTAAAGAAAAGTATCCATTTTTTTTTTTTTTTTTTGCTCTATAACGTATATATGTGCATATATTGTAGTGTCAGGATTTACTTGCTGATAACAGAAACCCTGTAACCTAGCTTAGACACAATGTGCTTCTGTTAGTTTATGGTCATGCACAGAAGCCTCCTGCTTACAAGCTGAATGGAAGGGTAGAAGGAGCAGCCTTTAGTCAGACTTCCAGGAATGACTCTCAGGACACCATCACAGAACTGGCTGCCCAGAAGAGACGCTACTATCTCTGCTTACAGCCTGGAAGCTGGGAAGTCAGAAGATGCTGCCTAGTTGCTAGCTCCGAAGTCACATTACCTTAACTACAACCCCCACCAGCAAAACGGATGCTCCTTGTCCTGCCACCACACCTGGGGGCCTCTGCTGTTGCTATTCTAGAAAAATCCAAGTTCTGTTGGCTGTTTGTTGGCAGAAACATTATCTCCATCTCGTTTGGCCTTCCCAATTTCAAGTAGGTACATCTGCAAGGAGGAAATCAAGTCACATTTGGAATTCAAGCTAAGAGACTCAGCTTTTTTTGGACCCAGAGTGAGTCACAGCATACCTGTGTGCACAAATGGGTTACAAGTATGTTAAGAGATAGCCATCTTCTGTCTTCCAGGCAGCCACAGCCCTCCTGGTCAGCAAGCTCCACACCTAGGTCTCCCTAGAAGGCAGCCCAAACAGGGTAGTCTGATGGTCCACTCTCAGGCCCTATAAATAAAGAGTAGGAGACAGAGCTGATTTGAGAAATGCCAGCTCCTTGTAGGTACAATTTCCAAGTAGATGCCCCAAATCTCTATCTTACAGAAGCCTCTATTTGCTTAGAGATGTCCAAGACAGTTGCAGGGTGACTACTCTCACAATGCATAATGTTCTATAAATTGGAATGTCATTATTATTTGGAAATACTTGATATGAAAATTTCAATTGTATTTGAGGTCCATTTGTATTATCACAAAAAAATACCATCACATTTTGTCAATGACAAGAAGAATTGTTAGGCTATGTATATATAAAATTTTTGATTTTTCAATGTTTCTTAAAAGTTCTAAACCGTTTCATCAACTTTGTATAAAGGAAGTTTCTATTCAATGGTAACTACTGAGAATTCAGAGAACTGAATAAAATGTCTCAATCAAGAACTGACGTGGGCACAGTGGCTTGCACCTATAATAAATCCTATCTACTTGGGGAGCTGAGGCAGGAGGATCCCTTGAGCCCAGGAGTTTGAGGCCAGCCCGGGTAACATAGCAGGATCCCATCTTTAAAAAACTAAAAATTAAGATTAAAAAAATAACAAAAATGAATTGCATGTAGCCAGTTAAAGAATACAATTTTATAACTTATATCTAGAGCAAGATCAAGCTTCTCATTAAGGATTCTGAAAAAACATATTGGGGTATCTCACACAAAATTAGCATTTAATATCTTTCCTAAAGCTTTTCCTATGTGTGCCATAGATCAGTGGTTTCTAGGAGACAGAGGAAAAACCAAAGACAGGAATCTTTTAGAGGTGATAGATATATTCACTACCTTGATTGTGGTTTCACAGGGGTGTGTGTGTGTGTCTCAAAACTGACCTAACTGTATACTTTAAATATATGCAGTTTACTGTATGTCAATTATACTTTAACAAAGCTATTTTTTAAATTATGGGACAAGAAAACCCCACAAAGTACATTCCAGAAAGGCATTAATTTACATTCTACCAACAGCTTATGCAAATGCTTGCCTCATTGTCAACACTGTAATTCTTAAAAAAAAGGGCCGGGCGTGGTGGCTCACGCCTGTAATCCCAGCACTTTGGGAGGCCGAGGCGGGTGGATCACAAGGTCAAGAGATCGAGACCATCCTGGTCAACATAGTGAAACCCCGTCTCTACTAAAAATACAAAACATCAGCTGGGCATGGTGGCACGTGCCTGTAATCCCAGCTACTCAGGAGGCTGAGGCAGGAGAATTGCCTGAACCCAGGAGGCGGAGGCTGCGGTGAGCTGAGATCGTGCCATTGCACTCCAGCCTGGGTAATGAGAGCGAAACTCCGTCTCGAAAAAAAAAAAAAAAGAAAAAGAAAAAAAATGCTGCTGATTGGAAAGACAAAACTATCTCATCTGTTTGAATGTGCATGTCTTTACTAGTAGACTGAACTTTTTTTCATGTTGATCAGCTGTTTGCCCACTTTTCTTTCACTGTCACAAAGCAATGAAGAATGCTAACACTAGAATGCTAGCAAAAGAGGGGTGCCTTTTTATCTGCCAGGTTAAGTAGTACAAACTGAAAATTACTACCCCAAAAGTGGTTATAATTATTCATAAATTTGTCAAATCCTTTGAATAGGAGTCCTAATTAGTCACTAGAAATGGATGCACATTTAACATTTAAAGAAAAAAACCCTTAGTTTCTTTAATAACAGAAAATTTTCATCTTGTTCTGAAGCTTATAAGGCTAAATCACTTGGCCAAGTACACAAACCTAGAGGATGTCCAATCTGGAACCTGAACCTTCAGGGATCTTCTGGGACACAAGCTGAAGAGCAGGGAAGGATGAAATGATGTGGAAATCAATGGCATAGCTGAGACTTAGGGAAAGGGAAATTCTTTCAGCTTTACCTTCCTCATCCATAAAATGGGGGAACATTAAATAATCATTAAATTTCCTTTCAGCTCTAACCTCTTCTAAATGCAAGCTGGGTAAATTGATACAAACTGGCAGCTGTTGTCAAATTGCTACAGTTTTTGTATTTTCTTATCAGCCCATGTCAGCTCACATTCAAACTCTAGCCCTCCCCTACTCTGTGTAGTCTTGGGCAAATAACCTATCCTGATTTTAGAGATGAGGAAATGAAGACCCAGAGAGAATCATAATAGAAGCTACACCTCAAAGGGTTAAGATCACGAAAAGACAGCACACAAATGAATACTTAGGAGTACCCAGCACATACTAAGATGTATAGTAATTGCAAGTCTGTGTACTTGGGGGTAGAATAACACCGACTTGCATGGAACCCCTGCTATAAGTTCCACAAGAGACCATGCCTATTCATCACTATAGCCCCAGCAAGTCAAATACCATGTAGACAGGTATACTGAACAAAATAGTTGAACTTGGACGAATATTTGAACAAAGAATGAACAAAAATCATTGAAAAAATAGTCCTCAGATCTGATTCACAATTCAGCTATACATTTAATTTAAAAGACTTCATGAATTGTGGGAGGGGTGAGGGGGAAAAAAGGAAGAGAAAGGAAGGACCCAAAAACAGCAAGACTTTAGGGTATTAGCAACTCATGGCCTGTCGGTGTTAAAAATTTTGGACTCCTTGCCATCTACATATTACCTCATCTGTGACTCTCTTATAACCCATGAAACATCTACACCTGCAGTGCTTATTACAAATGCAAATGCCATCCTCACCCATTTTCAACAGGCCACCTCACTAATTCTTACACACTTGACAATGTTAGAACCTGGTCCAATTATTATCTAGCCAATGCTTGAAAATGATTTAAAGGCATAACCCCAAATCTTAGAATAGCTTATAGCAGTATAAATATTCAGATTCCAAACACAAGGACTACCCACATCAACCTGCCTGTGACCCCTAACAACTGAGAAACCAGTTTTTAATAGATCAAAGATGAAAAGGTGAAATGCACAGCTCACAAATTTCTCAACCATCTGGGCACTAGAGGGAATAGGTGTGGTTGGAAAAATAACCCTTCTGGAATTTTCTCAGCATATTTTAAAATGGCAGTAACATTTCTTCCATTCTTAACATTAATTTTAATAGTGCACTAACATTTTTTTTGTCTTAGCGAACAGATAGGTTAATTCCATTGACAACTGGATAGTGGTCTTTATTAATTTTTACAAATGCATGTCTTCTAATACAAAAAGGTTGATTTTCATTTTATTATGTGCTTTGCAAATTTACAGCAGCAGCAGGAAGAGCTTCTACTGAATAGATTTTGGTCTTCAAAAATGTGACTGCATCTTCCATCTCTAGTCTGTCCATCTCCCAGTTATTGACCTTACCAAAGAAAGAGGAAAATAATCAGTTTGTGAGACGATGATAACATAAGTGCTAGTTTAGAGATCCAAACATAATAAAATAACATAAGGACAACAGCTTTTTGAAAGCAAATGTTACCTTATAACTACTTACATTTTAAAGACATAGCACTACATGTTAGGGTTGAAGAAAGCTCTGTGAAAATTATAAAAATTTTAAAGGTCCTCTAAATGGTGCAAAAAGTACTTTCTTGAGAAAAACCTTCCTTAGAATATATATAATCATTAATATAAAAAACAAAGTCTTAAATAGTAGCCCACTAAGAAAAAGGGGTCATCTTAATCTCAATAGTCCACATGTAATCCATTTCTAGATACTAAAGCATAATAATAGAAGATTTGGAATGTTTACATCTCACATTATGTGCAGGACCAAATGAGTGGCATCCAGATAGACCCCACAGCAACATATATATAAACGTATTTGTAGGGTTTCTGCTACCCAGAAACATCGGAAGAGGCTGTTCAAGAGACGCTGTGGTGCACAAAATCAAATTGAAGCACGAGCGAAAAGAGGAAGACCCATCCTTTTAAAACCATTCAGCCTTTTTGGCAACAAACATCCTGTAACAGCTTCACACAGGCCATGAAAACAAAGCTTTAACATATTTCCTTTCCTCATTCAAGATAATCTGGTAATTAAACATGGTTTCGTGCGTCTTAAATACGAAAATATATTATTTGTATTCTTCCTCTTAGCAAAAAACGATTAAAGTGGACCTAAACGACATTTGTAAAAGCTCCAGTAAGTGGCAGTAATCAGCTGGGCAGAACCCAAATTGTGTACGAGCAATGTTCTTTTTCAAAGAAAACAGTAACCAGAGCACTTATTCCAGTAATGCTGACAATTCCTCCAGGGCTAGTAACCAGTCTCAACCACAAGATTCCTGGCAGCTGGTAGAATGTACACCAGTAATAAAGAATATTTCATTTGTATTTTTTCTTACCAAGATCACACGAAAACCCATTGCATTCAAATGCCGCATTTTCATAGCAAGGAATCCTCTGGGATGGCTTGAACCCAAACAATAAGCAGATTTAGGAACACACAGCACAGCTACTCTGAAAACAAAAATAAACAAAACAAGAACAGTTATTGATATTACCATTGACAGTCTCACTGCATCCCTGTTATCTGGAGATTTCCAAGTTGAGCTCTCCACTGATCACAGTCCTCAATATTCCTAACTGTCTTAGTCCCTCACTTCTTCTACTCAGCCTCTGCAGATATTCCACTATACTAGGCTACTTTATAAACCCAAAATAGACAACACTGTACACAGTTACCTCTCAGTTCCCTTTAAGGATGGCTACCTTTTTGAAGAGAAAGATTTTCAGATATGAGAGCACTAATTTTAAGGGTTTTAATGTAGTGCTGATTTCTGATTTGAGTGTAATTATTTATTCTACCAGTAGAAGTAATGATATAAATAATACCAGTGAATGCTCTTCTTGCATATATTATCTCACAGAGAAAGTACCATTTAAAACACAGAACCAGGAGTTTATGTAGAAGGAAGAAAACACCAAGAGAAAGGCAAGACAAGACTGTTAAAAAGATAAAACCTGTAAATATAGCAAAAATGTGGAAGGCGTAATTTGTGTTTTCATTGTTTCTGGCACTTTGGAAATACTAAGTTCACTAGGAGAAAAAAAGAAAAAAAACAGACATTTATATCCTTACTGCCTTTTATACTCTGGCTAAGATAAATTTTATATTTTTAAAGGAATGCTCAGATTCTTCACATTTCATGACTTTATACTGAGAACAACTATGTTATTTTATTATGTCAGAATAGTGGAGTACCTGAAAAAGAAAAATGATCATTGAACAGGGTCAGAGAGAAAGCCTTTTCTAAAGGGAGATGGGTAACATTGATAGGAAAGACAGCAGTTGAAAAGATGGCCAAGAAATAAGCTAGATGCATTCAGAAAGAGGTGAAAGTCACAGAACTGTGTGAATGAAGAGGGATGGGCAGATAAGAGTTTGGATGCCTACAGATTTTTTTCTGTATCTTTCTATTATATTTATGTGCGTTTGTGTGTGTGTGTCTAGTGGAGTAACAGGAGATATAAATTCCTTGGGGTCAGGATCCATGCAGCAGAGCCTTTCCATAAAGGCTAACTGGCCCATGGCTGTGTGCAATGATGGCATGCTCTTATGCATCTACTGAAGAGGCAGAATGTTCTCTCATGGTATAGCATCATATTTCTACCCAGAGACACTCTATTTGTAATGTGTGAGCCAAGGAAACAACTTATGATTAGCTTCAATGGGCTCCGATTCATACAAACAGAGTTTAATTTAAAAAACTAACTGCGGTTTCTCTCCCTCTGGAAAAGTCTTGGTGGTAGAGCAAAATAGTTATTGAGCTTTTGATTTTTGTAGAAGCCTCGTCTTTATTCGTTATGATCACTATTATAGTATCTTGTCCAAAGTTTACACTGAACTGATAGTTTCAATTACATTGTTTTATTGAACTGTAGCTTCAAAACCTAATTTTAAAAAAATGTTTATTTCACTAAATGACCCAACTGTAGTCCGTTGTATTCAACCATAATGCCAACGTTTACATCTAAGGAGTACACTGATGGATGAGAAGTCTCTTGCTGCGCTGCAGGCTCCATACAAATACCAAGTCTTAGCTTTACTACTGCTGTTTAATACGAAGTCTTTTAGAATTAGAATTTAAATTCAGAAAGCCCAGCAAATGAAATATATGTAAGCAACCTTTGAATATCTGTAACAGAAGTTGTATCCACATCAGAAAGTGAAAGCACTTGATTCCTGTTAGTGTCCATTCTGATTTCAAAATCTGAAAGGAAAGAATTCATATTAATTTTTCAAACACTGCTCCAAATGACTTTTTTTTCTTTTCTTTTTTCTTTTTTTTTTTGAGATGGGGTATCACTCTGTCATTGAGGCTGGAGTACAGTAGTGAGATCTTGGCCCCTTGCAGAAATTTCCCAGGTTAAAGCGATCCTCCCACCCCAGCCTCCTGAGTAGCTGGGACTACAGACGCACACCATCACACCCATTTGACTTTTGTATTTTTTTTGTAGAGATAGGGTTTTGTCATGTTGGCCAGGCTTGTCTTGAACTCCTGAGCTCCAGTGATCCACCTGCCTTAGCCTCCTCACACATGCTGGGATTACAGGTGTGTGCCACCACGCCCAGCCCCAAGTGATTTTCTCTTTTAAAATGTTTAATAGTACTACGAATAATGATAATAGCAGTAGCTAAAATATATTGAGTGCTAACTGTGTGTCAGATACTAGTCTAGGGATTTTAGACACATAAAAATGTGTAGAATTTAATTTATTGGTTATGAGGCAAGAATCAGGCCAATTTCAGAGGCAATGCTGCACTACACTGAACTGCTGCCACAAATACCTAATTTTTTGTCAGAAAAAAGGGAAATAAATACAATAAAATGAAGAGAAATCATATAATGTCCCATACCAATATGATAATTGGGTGGCAAGTACACATTTTTTGAGAAGTGTCCTTCACCTCCCAGAAGGCTGCTCAGCACCTCTGCCACCTTTGCGTTTGGAAGTGATGGTGGCTCCTGTGGAAGCTGTGGGAGTGACAAGTCTATGTCCTTGTGATAAACAATATCATCAAGTTTTAGACAAGTATCCAAAATATGCAGCTTGTGGACATTCTTTCCCATGTCATCTAAAATAGGAAGAAAATATATCATTAAGAAGAAACAAATGCAACATTAAAAAACTATGTTAATATATATTTAGTAACCTATATAAAATAAATATATATATAAATACACCTGTATTTCTAATAATCTCTTTCTTATCACAAGGACTTTCTCTGTGTCTCCCTGCTTTCCATAGTGTCTAAATGAAAGCCCTTTACTTGATAATGTTTTGAGGCTTCACAGGTCATTTAGTCTAAACTTCTCATCTTCCAGATAAGGAAATATCTAGGAATGTTAAAAAGCCTCATGATTAAGGCAAAGTTGGAACTAGAATCCATGTTTTCTGGCTTCAAGGCTGTTTCTCCAGTATTATACTTTGCCTGAAAAATTAGCATGTGATATTGACTGATTCCTCACAGCTCAACTCTGGGATTTTATAACATTGTTTTTTAAAAGAAATTTTGAACTACTCTATTCTCAGATATATCATCAAATTTGGTACATCTACCTGGGTATTGCTTTGCATTGTTTAATATTAAAGACTAAAAGGCAACAGTTAATTTGGTTCCAAGAGTAAATGAACTAATCAATTTGGTGGCTATTTGGTTTCTTGATCTAACAGATGTGCCCTCATCACAGGCCAGGAGTGAGTGACCAAGTGTTTATAGCTGCAAAAGTTGACTTAGGTTGGCTTCAAATGTGGTAAGTAAGGATTAGGAATTACAAACAGCTCTGATCAAAGCAGGAATAACAACCTGAACATTTAGCCTTCGTATAGATGGATACAGTGTACATAAAAGGAATAATAATGATGCATTCCTTTTTTTTTTTTCAACATGCAGGCTTGTCATTAAAGGGTCCATAGGTTTGCTGCTTTGAAAGACTATTCATTGACTTCACCATTACCAGCCTTTACCACAGTAACACCTATTCTGCAAATTTCAACTAATGCTGCTCCAACTAAGACCCCATTCAGACTCATATGGTAGCTAGTTAGTGCCTTATTTTGGTCACAATTGTGCAGTGACATCCTACCTGATGTCAGCAGCTCACTGAGGACATTTTTTTGGAGAAGATGATTAATAGGAGCCAGAGGAAAGTAATTCATTAAGCAAAATGAATACACTGCATCCAGTAAGTTTTTAGAAGAAATACAGTGAAGATAACCAGTCAGAGCACTAGCCATAACTTCTAGGAACTGTCTGTGGAACAAAAAAAAAAGATAAGAAAATCAGACTTGCAAATAAATGTCCACACATTGTTCTGGACAGTTGGTTATCTCATAGTAAGTGTATGCATTCAATAAATGTTGGCTATTCCTACATGTCTTGCACGGGACAAACATTTTATAGACTTTAACTCATTTAACTCACACTAAAAATCTCTATGAGGTATTAATATTATTCTCTTCATTTTTTTAAAAACGAGTAAACAGCTTAGAGAAGTTGAGTAACTTGTCTAAGAACATACAGACAAGGAAATAGCAAAGATAAAATTAGAACACAAGTTGTCAGGCTCCAGACCTTTTAATGATTATGCCAAATTTTCTATAATGCCTGGACCACCACAACAAATTAAAATTATACAGCTGTCAACACTACCGGTTAAAAGAACTGCAAGCCTAATTCTACCACTCAGAGCTAATGTTACACAGTGTAACAATGTGGTTAAGTATAAATGAAGACAAAAAAGATCAAAATCAGGTGCGGTCACTTGCCCAGAGTGACACCACTAATAAAGGATAAATATCCTTTGAACACACGTCAATCTGACTCTGAGGGCATATGATACATGTGGTTATATAAGCAAATAAATATATGCAAAGTACTGTGATCTCACAGGGAAAGAAAATAAACAGAAGCTTTCGGGAGGAGAATTCACATGAGTAGGAAACATGGAATAGAGGAAGATCATTTGAACAGAGCCCTGAAAGTGCATGCCACTTGCCTGATAGTGAGTAACTAGTCAGATGAAGGTACAGAGGAGTGATTCTTAACAGCTGAGGCAAATATGCCTGGATGCAAGCCCTTATTAACAATGAGCCTGAAATCAACTGAGAGGTCCATGGGTAGGAGCAGAGGGTTGGGGAGGATGAGGGGCTGTGATAAGGCCAGGAAAACTATAGGAATTATGATGAAATGGGAGGAATGTAATGGATCATACAGACAACAGCAAGGCAGCACTTCTGAAACAAGTAACCGATTGCTTTTGAAACATGCAGTAGGACGCGGGGGCAGGGCATGCTGTGGACAAGGAAGTTGGGAGCTTGGGTAGTGATCCCCTCTCTGGTCTTCTTTGGACCCACTCCTCACCCTGTAACTCATGCTTCAGCAGCCCAAACTGTGTGTTTTCCCTACACATGCTCTGCTGTTTCTTCCGGGCCTTGCATATAGAGGGCCTTTCACTTGGAATGTTCTTTCCTGCTTATCTTTCCATGGTAAACCCCCATCTCTCTGTCTTTTAAGATCAGTTCAGACATCATCTCCTCAAGGCAACAGTGCCTGATATCCCCTGACCCTCCTCTTCACCAGGCTAGCATCCTGACATATCCCTCCTCTATTTCCAAATATCCTCGATGATATGGTTTGGCTGTGTCCCCACCCAAATCTCATATTGAATCTCATTTTATTACCCTGAATTATAGCTCCCATAATTCCCTTGTGTTGTGGGCGGGACCTAGAGGGAGATAACTGAATCACGGGGGTGGATTCCCCCATACTCTTCTTGTGGTAGTGAATAGGTCTCACGAGATCTGATGGTTTTTTGAGAAACCTCTTTGCTTGGCTCTCACTCTTCTCTTGTCTGCTGCCCTGCAAGAAGTGCCTTTCACCTTCTGCCATGATTGTGGGGCCTCCCCAGCCACGTGGAACTGTGAGTCCATTAAACCTCTTTCTTTTGTAAATTGCCCAGTCTCAGGTATGTCTTTATCAGCTGTGTGAAAATGGACTAATACACTATATCATTTGAATTTTCATGCTATGTTTAATGACCAATTTATGTATCTACCTTACCCATTACACAGAATCCTTTGCAAAAAGGACTGTCTTACTCATCTTTCTCCTAAGTGTCCAGGTGCTTGGTAAATGGTGACTAAATGAACAAATCAATTTAGATGAGGAAGACAGGAGGAGGAACTTGTCATTGAAAAAAGATGAGTCACGAAAAATGAGCTGACTTTCAGAACTACTGAACTTGAGACACTTCTGGGATGTACAGTGACCATATGAACCCAGAGAGACTCTACTCTGGAGTTCTGAAGCACACTAATGACCACAGATGCAAATGTGGGATTATCCACAAGGGGTAAATATAGGTCAAGGAGAGAAGAAACCAAAGGACCAAAACGACAGAGTCCAAATGTTAAATGTTTCTTCCTTGGGTTTCAAACCCAGCAAGATACTCTGGATTTAACATATCCTCTCCCCCATGGGCCATCATAAATGAAATAATGATTAATGTATAACATGTGGATATACAATATGCTAAACCAGATTTCCTACCACTCTCCTATCTAATCCATCTCTTCTAGTCAACTCTCTTCCCAAATACTTTGAATTATTCAGCTTCCAAAACCTTTGCCACTCCAGCCTAGGTTGTCATCTTCCTTTCTCCTTCCTCCATAAAGCACTTACTTGGTGCCTACCATGTCTTGCCTTCCTCTGGATATACAAGAGTTGTTTTCATAAATGGTCTAGGAAGAACAGGGAATACAAACCTTTTTGTAGTCCTCAAAACACCAAATTTAGGCAACTGTACATTCATGGGCATTCAGGAAATGGTGACTAACTAATCATACTATATCTGCCATATTGCCCCTATTTCTCCTTTGGAAAAATGTTGAGGTGTGAAGCTCAGAATTAGATAAGGGTTTCTCGATCTCAGCACTACTGACATCTGGGGCTGGATAATTCCTTATTGTGAGGGGTTATCCCATGCATAGTACAAGAGGATGTTAGATAGAGGATGTTAGCAGCACCCCTGGCCTCTATCCACTAGAGGCCAGTAGCACACAGCCCCTCCTGTTGTGGCAACTAAAAACCGTCTCCATACGTTGCCAAATGTCCCAGGGAGGCAAAAATCATCCCTGTTTGAGAACCACTAGGCTAAATGAAAGCAGAACAGACAGACAAAAAGACAACATTCAGGATTCTCCTCCTGTACTAACTCTACTACTGCCATTTTATTAACTGTCTCAACCTTTGTTACCTTTGTTATCCCCCTTCTATTTCCAACATAACAATTTTGTTGGAACAGGTCATCACTCAGGCTGCCTAGACTCACCTGAAAAACTCTTACCCATCCAGTGCTTATTCTCTCAATCCCACTGGGGCTATTTCTGAAGTTTTAATTGCCACTTAGCTTGATATTATTTGTCTAGAAAGTGCAGGACATCAATGGGAGCCAGCCTCAGCCAGGGGAGTAAAGGAAGGTTGAATTTGGGAGATATTTTTCAACCTTTATTTATTTTATTATTATTTTTCAACCTTTATTGAATGTCTACTCTTTGTCAGGACCTGTACTAAGTTCAGGAAAACAGGAAGCTGGGTCTGACTCCGAAGAGCTTACCAACTGAGGAGCAGAGACAGACTTATTGACACAACAAATGACACAACTTCTCAAGTCTTACCCAGTCTCTGGTGAAGCCTTGACAAGGCTGTAGTCAAGAACCCTAATGGGGTCAATTAGGGAAGACACAGGAAATGTAGTATGAGCTGAGTCTGTCCATTCAGTGGACAGTACAGTGGGAAGCTGCTTTTCAGTTGGCCTAACACCACATCACTGATTAACTGCCCTTAAGGGATGGGCATTTGACTCAAACTCAATCAGATGTTCTCTTTTAGAAATCTAAATCTGGAGAAAAAAACTAAAAGGATAGAAAGCAGCTGGAGTCAAGCCATTTGATGGCAAACAGATGGCCTGTGCACCTTGCCACTGAGACACTCAGAACTGCTCTAGTTTGATTCCCCAAGGCCTCTGTGACCTGCGCTCTAATTTTTTTTTTTTTTAATTAAAAAATTATAGTGTGCTGGGCATTGTTTTAAGAACTTAATGTAGATTAACTCATTTAATCCTAATAACAACCCAATGAGATTGGACATAGTTCATCTTCATTTTAATAAGTGGATAAACTGAGGCACAGATAAGTAACCTGCCAAAAGTCAAGTAGCTAATAAATGGCAATGCCGAAACTCAAACCCAAGCAAGCTAGCTCTAGAGTCCACACTTTTAATCACTCTTTTAACAAATGGCATTTTATATGCTTTTCTGGTTTTTAATGAACCTTGACTGAGCCAAAGAATAAGAAAAGATGTTCTGGGTAGAAAGCAGAGGTATGAAATAAGCTGGCACATTTGAGAAATTACTGTATTTAATAGTAGAAATGCATGGCTATGGTTAAAATGAAAAGAACAGAAAGCAGTAGCTTGAGGCCAAATGAATAATTAAGGTCAAAACAGAACTAGAAGAAGGTCCAGCTCTCACAGCTTCTCAGAAACACTGATTTAACAAAGACATATAGACCAAACTATCTTTATGAAATGTCCAGAAACCAGTTAAGAGATTATGATACTCCAGACAAGAACGAAACCAAAAAGAGTTGCACTGAAACAGGTAAGAACATTTTACCCAGGTCAACCCCTCCCCAAAGCTGCTACAGCTCAGCACCAAGACAGATCACCTTGACCTAGGACTTCTCCCTTAGAGGAAGAGAGTGGAGTGTGCATCCAACATCTGGCTTTTCGGTGTGCTCCCTGAGGGGCCCATTTCTGTCTCAACTCACAAGGAATACTAACAAAACCAGCAGGGTTCCGATGCCTGAGGGCAGTTAAGAACAAAGGAAAAGGAGTGGACAGCTTCCTGCACTCAGCACAACTCTGAGAGATTTGAGAAAAAAATACAGAACCTGAGGATTCAGCCTCAAGAGGAAATGAGAGGAGTGGAGCATATCTTCAACATCCCAGCCTTTTGGTGAGCTGTCCAAGGAGCTGGTTTCTGTCTCACCTTACAAGGAGAGCTGACGAAACCAGCATAGTGTGAATGTCCAGGAGCAGTTAAGAAGAAAGAAAAAGGGGTCACTGGCTTGCAGCAGACTGCACAACTCAAGGCTTCTCTAAGGCAAAGGAATGGAGCATGCCTCCTTTGTACCTGCCTGTAGTACAGTAGTCAGACACCAGAGGGAGCAAGATATTCCCTGAGCCTAAAA